CAGAGCAGAGCAGAGGGGCAGAATCCCCTCCCTCGACCTGCTGGCCACGCTGCCGGTGATGCAGCCCAGGAGACGATTGGCCTTCTGGGCTGCGAGCGCACATTGCTGGCTCATGTCCAGCTTTTCATCCACCAGTACCCCCAAGTCCTTCTCGGCAGGGCTGCTCTCAATCCCTTCATCCCCTATTTATCATCATCCCATCCCCCATCATTTACTACGCCATGACCTTGTGCGCTGATAATGGTGATGTTTCAGAGCATTGGGGGGGTGGTGGTGGCTTGAAACATGCTGATTTGTCGGTCCCGTTGCTGCATAGACACGTCCCTGTCCAGAGGCACACGTTTACCACTGCTCTGAGGGGGCAGGTCTGCTTATCTTTAGGCGGTGATGCTGCAGAATGCTCTCCACTCCCGCAGAGACAACTGACACGCACGGTGTGGGGCTGACGTAACGCATATAACCTGAAAGAAAGATGGGAGGAATTCTGTAGTTGTGCTTTACTGTCATTTGCAGAGGTTGTTCCCGTTTAATTCTACTAGCTCACATAAAGTACTCGCTGCTTCCCAAATGTAAGCAGGCCTTCAGAAGTGTTGTTTTCAAAACTATCATTTTGAGAAATCATATTTAAAGCTGTTGACTTAGCCCTGTCAGCCCTCAGGCTGCCACTGTGCAGAATTAGCTACACACACGCAGATGCACTTTTAGCTGCTCAGAAAGTTATAAATAGCTCCTCTGGAAAGCCATAAATAGCTAATAATTCTGTTTGTGAGCTAGCACCGCCACTGACAAACTCTTTGTCTTTGTATAGGTCTTCAAAGCAACTGCACACTCCGTTGATCCGTTCATCGCTGTCCGAATATCCTACCTGGAAATCTACAATGAGACCTTGTTTGACCTTCTGTCCACCATGGCAAGCAACGGGACCAGTGATGTGCAGATGGCTGTAGTGGATTGCCCACAGGGTGTTTACGTGAAGGGCTTATCTATACATTCAGTTAGCCACGAGGAAGATGCTCTAAATCTCCTTTTTGAGGCAAGAAAAAACAAATATTACACTTCATCTGATTGTTATATTTATTGGCTTAGCTGAGGGAGGAGGCAGTAAAGCAGGAGGTGCGTGGCCAGGACGTCTGGAGGGAGGTTCAACCCTCTTTGTTCTCTTTATTGTGGGTAGAAGAACTGGTAACTCTTTGTAGCCCATGCTCTTGCAAGGAAAATGTCCCTGGCACAGGGATTCTAGAAGATCTCCATGGAGAAACCCTGTTTTTAGTGTACGCCAGAGCAAGTCAAGTGATGGAGGAAATATGTTGGGGTGAGACCACAGAACGTGGTAGCATTGGAGATTCCAGGCAGCACCCAACTAGTGAAGGCAGCCACAGAATCTGCCTTCGTTTCAGAAGGCTTATCTGCAATACCAGCCACCTCACCAGCCCCTTCAGCAGACCGAGATCGCAGACAGCCAAAAAGACTTGAGGCTTATCTGCAATACCAGCCACCTCACCGGCCCCTTCAGCAGACCGAGATCCCAGACAGCCAAAAAGACTTGTTTTCATTACCCTGGTTATCGCCTAAGGGTGTCAGGGAGTGACTCAGTACAAAGTGTACGATATTTGGGGTCCTTTTAGACCCACCAGCTGACGTACACCGGAATTTCTTCCTGAAAAACACACCTGCCTGTCCTAGCTATGTCAATGCTCCAAGAAAAGAGTCTTGCCAGTGAGGCCTTTGGCAGATAGTTTGGGATGGTCACGGCACAGCTACCGTTAGTCAGATTTTACAGCAGGGACCTTCACACAATGGGTTAGCTTTCTGAAGGGAGTTTGCTTACTTATGTCTGCATCTTTCTTTTACTTGTGGGTGCTTTACTTAATGGAAAACATGAATAAATAATTGGTTCTGTGTGCAGGAAGCGTATTCTTACCAGGAGCCATCTGGTGTCCTTAAAATCTTTCACTTGCCTTTTTAATAATGGGACTGTGGTGTCCTAAGCCAGCCTCTGTGATTCGCAGGAGCTCCCATTTTCTTTTTAAAGAGTAGAAGGATGATGATAAGGCAGCTTAACTTGAGATCTGTTGACACAAGAAGTGCAAGCGATGCCTGGGGATCCGTTCAGGTCCTTAGATGAGTTCTGCCTGTGGTTCTAGGTTCACAGAGAAAGCTCCAGGCTTTGAGGAGGCTGCCCACTACGCTGTGACTCTGTTTCTTCATTTGTGGAGTGGGGTTGGTAGTATTTACCTAGAGAGCTTCGCCTTCATTCTTGCTCTTGGATTTACACTCCCTGGTGTGGAGCCAGTCACTGACCTTCCAGCTCTCAAAGGTCATCGTCCTTTGAGACCCAGGCAGACCAGCCAGCTTTGAGACCTGTTGGCAAGCGCGTTTCTGTGCTGTAGAGCCTTCCGCTTCCTCTTCTGCCTCGCCAGCCTGGCAGCGCAGCTCTGTGATAGACTGGCGCTCCTGACAAGCAGTTGCAACATCGTTTTGAATGTTGCTTTCTTTTCCTGTAAGCAGGCATTACAAGTTCGTGGCTATCGTATATGTGTGAGTTTTCTATGACATTTAAAGCTTGGGGAGCTCTTTGGTTTTCTAGTCATCAAGAAACTGAAACAGCCAGGGCAGTATTGCCTCTGAACAAGGCTCGCCTGACTGTTCCTCAAAAAGCCACAGTTCTGTGAGCTGAGCCTTGAAGGTGGAAATGTAGATAATGTGGTCTCCGGTAAAAGGCGTTATTACCGTAAACAGTGACCTTTGCCAACTACACCATGAAATGCTTTGAGAGGCCTTTGAGTAGGAAAGCGAGGCAAATATGGTGAGCTTCTGCTCTGACTGCTCTAACCAACTGGTCCATGTTACAGGCTCTGCAGAGCGAAGATTAAACCGCTGTTTATTTAACTGCGTGGATTTCTAATTGCCCTTTATTCTACCAATGCAGAAGTTTGAAAAAACCGTCTTCAATTTTTACTTCATTTGCAGGGTGAGACCAACAGAGTGATAGCAGAGCACACACTGAATAAGAATTCATCCAGATCCCATTGCATCTTTACTATTTATATTGAGGTAAGAGCTCCAGCAGTTTTTCTAGGGACTCAAATGGCTGAGGATCTTTACATGTCTGGTTGTTACTGTATTTCAGTTTTGTCTGCTGTCAAGTACAGTTTATATTCTTTTCTCCCTCAGTCTCGTTTCAGAGTTTTCTCAGATGTCAAATGCATTAACTCCAAAATCAACTTAATAGATCTGGCAGGCTCAGAGAGACTGAGCAAGACTGGAGTAAGTAAGGGAAGAAATATTTCAGTCCGTGGTGAAGAGTCCAGTAATCAACATGGTGGAGGTGAAATTACAGGTTTTCCCCACCACAGAACTCAGCCTGTGATAAATAGGAGAAACTGTGACAAATTGTAAGTCACATTAACACGTCAGAGGGTGCTCAGCTGTTTGCAGCTGCTGTGTATCGTTTGTAAGTCCACGTGTATGTGACTCCCATCCTGCCTGTGCCTTCCAACCTAACCCAGACTGTGTTAGTTAATTTGAGTCTGTCATTTCTCAAAGAACCTCTGATTTTCCTCTTCATTCCATGAGTGACAGCGCAAATCCCCCGCTTCTGGTCACAGCAGGCAAACTGCTGAAACTTTCTTAGAGCATTAGGGCTCAGCAACTGAAAGCTCCTCAGGTCCCACGTGACATTCTGTTTTGATCAGAATAGAAATCGCATCAGCCCTGTGACAAATCGATAATTTACCCTTTGGGAAGGAAAGCCAGTGATCCTGGTAGACTTGTAATGAAAACCTGAGGTCTCTGAAAACTTGTTTTCAAACTGAAGAAAGCTCTAGATCACGAATTTATTGGGTCTGAATTAGATCCTTACCCTCGCAGTCAAGCAGAGTTGTACCCTCAGTAAGGAATATGTTCTCTTCTGCGGTTCGGCCAGAAACCCGTGTTGTGGAAGCTTTGCCTTTTGATCTTCATTACAGTCTGAAGGACAGGTTCTGAAAGAAGCCACGTACATCAACAAGTCTCTGTCGTTCCTTGAGCAAATCATCATTGCCCTGGCTGATCCTAAGAGGGACCACATCCCCTTCCGGCAGAGCAAGCTCACTCACGTTCTCAAGGACTCCCTAGGTAAGAGCCGTGCATTACAACAGCCCCAAATAGTTCCTAGAAAACAGTGTTGTTTCAATGAGCGTACCAAGTCCTAAGGCCGTAACATGTAAACACATGGAACTAATTCGTTATTCAAAGGATGTCTGGTTTTCCTCATCAAATAAAACAGCAGGCGCAGGAGACAGTACAAAGCCCACACTGATCAAGCCAGTAGAAATTCCTCAAACCTTAGCTAGAATACTTTAAAAAACTGCCATCAAAAAAAGCCCCCGGCGTGTTACAAGCCTTTTCAGATGCTCCTGCTTTAGCATCGGGCTACAGATGATAAACCCAAAGCTGTGGTGCATCGTGAATCCACGGGAAAGGCTTACGCTCTTAGAACGCAGGCTGGAGACATGGGAGGAGAAAGCAGCTGAAAACGGGCTGTAGGCATTTGTGTGGAGTAACCAAAGTCATCAGAAATGAGAGCGACGTTTGAGGCGTTCCGAGCAGAAGTCTTGTGTTGCTTTTAGGAAAGGCAGTGACTACATCCTGCCAGGTTCCCCGCTGTTAGATTTAGGCCAAGGGCTTTTAAAATCTGCTGCTCTGGTTTTCCCCATTTCAGGCTTTCACAGTTTGTATTCCCATCTTCTTACTGCATCATCGCCACATGAGAAACACATTTTACCTTTATTCTTAAGTCATTCTGTGCCGCTGTGTTTCTGTACCCATGGGAGCTTTAGAGGGACATTTACAAACTCTCTGCGTTCTTTGTTCCTTCCTTTTCTCTATTTTAGTCAGCAGATAATATAACACATTCCAGAAAAGGAAACAACAAAAACCCCCAAATTATATTGTTTGCTTTTTTTTTTTTTTTTTTTTTTTTTTTTTTTTTTTTTTTTTTTTTTTTTTTTTTTTTTTTTTTTTTTTTTTTTTTTTTTTTTTTTTTTTTTTTTTTTTTTTTTTTTTTTTTTTTTTTTTTTTTTTTTTTTTTTTTTTTTTTTTTTTTTTTTTTTTTTTTTTTTTTTTTTTTTTTTTTTTTTTTTTTTTTTTTTTTTTTTTTTTTTTTTTTTTTTTTTTTTATTTTTTTCCCAGGGGGAAACTGCAATACTGTCCTAGTGGCAAATATCTGTGGGGAAGCTGTGCATGTGGAAGAGACTGTAAGTTGAACTGATTTCTGCGGAATTAAAGTCTTGTTCCTGCTACTGTTGCAATTGGCCGTAGCTGGGTTCAAAGAATAGTCTCCGGAGGGCCGTGGCAGGAGTCCCAGAGAAACATCCTGTCTAATTCATCGCATGGCTCATCTTATCTCAACGGCTCAGAAAACAGATTGCTCTCGCCAATCTGCTTTGTGATGCAAACAGTCGAGTGGTAACCGGCCCGGCGGGGGGGGAAAAGGAGAGCTTGAAATAAAGCAGGCACAAGCAGCTAAAATCTAAGCACACCGGATAGCGTTAATTGTTATTGTTGGTGCAACTCTGTGAATGCGTTTGAATGGTACATCACATAATGAGGTCGATGGAATTGCACCGGTTCACATCAGCGCTGAGCTGGCTTTCAGCTGGTTCAGGAATCAGGAGTAATCTCCTTAACAGTAAGGTTTTTTTAACCTGTGAAATAATGAAATTGGTGAAGGTCTTACCGTGTGAGCTGGAGCAGCTTAACCACATCTGCAACGCCGTGAAGGGAATCGCTTTGCTCTTTGCCGAGAAAATTTTACGTGGCAACAAAATGTAAACGCAGACACCTGTTATGCAGTTGTCTTCAAGGCAGAGCGTTGTTTTTATCATCGCCTGCTTGTGTTCCGATAGCGTCTAGAAACATGCAGTACTACTGAGGAAATAGCTGCTATACTTGGCGTCAAGAGGAGGATTTTCGGGCTGCAGGGGCTTACTGTCGGGATGCCACAATTGCAGGAATTAAGCTTGAAGTCCATTGATGTGTGATTTGGAGCCTTTAGGATGTAAGTGTTATTTTGATCAGAAATGGGAGTGGGTATTTTTGGGATCACAGCTCTGGTACACAAAGAGCTGTCCACATGCAGAGCAGAAAAGACAAAGACATCATCATCTGAAGCTGGCTAATCACATAGAAGCCAGCGAGCACTAGAAGATACCCTCCCGGAATGAGAAATCCTGTATTGCTCCCTGCAGTTAAATAGCTTTTGTATTTCTGTGTTCTGGGATCTGATATGGTGAAGTAGTAACAGATTACGAAAATTATATCCTTGCCAATATCTCTTTCAGTTACTCAAAAACCGTGTTTTTCAGTTGTCTTCTCTTCGTTTTGCTACCAGAATGAAATGGATCACAACAGAGCCAGTCATCAATGAGACATATGACCGAGAGGTATGTAGAGAAGGGGAATGGAAGAAGGCGTATTTTCTCAGGTTCATTAATATTTAGGATAATGACCTTAAAGACCAGAGGGAAATTTGGTAGTTTAATGAATTACCACTCATCAGCCAAGCTGACGCTTGCTGAATGTAGGTATATGATAAAACGGATTAGTATCAAACTTTTTTCATTGGTATTTAATTACAGTTACCTTGAATGTGCTACAGGGTACAGTCATGCAGACGGTCACATCTTCCCTGACACGTGGCAATTCTTTCAATTGCATACACAGGAGTCCTTAATTTTTCTGATAAGATTCACCTCTTAACAGAGATATCATGTTGTGGACTACTCCCCTGGCACGTGGGGAAATCGTCTCCGGTCCTAGCTGCAGCTTTATCACAGCATTATCCCCGTTGCTACTGGTAACGTAACGTTTTTGCCACAATTACAAAACTTGTTTAAACAAGGGAATAATTTAAAGAAAATGATCATAGTATTTTAGATGTCCTGAGTGCACTTTCACAGCTGAAACGGAGCTGGCAGCAGTAAATGCTCTACGAATTACTGATAGCCCAAAGAACAAGTTTCGAATTGTCTGATCTGTAACACATGTGGTGTGTGAGAACCCTGCTGCATTTCATGGTCTGATCTCACTGGCAAGCAGAGAAACAGCTGGGGAGTTTCCTCCAGCAGCTTCCAGAAGAAGCTGTGCAACAAACTCTTTTCCTCTTCAGTCCCTTTCATTTTTGTTGAGAAGTGTGGAGTGGAAGAGAGTAGCCAGAAGAGTAGCGTTTAAGGAAGCTGTTGCGCTTTGATGCTCAACAGGTCACTTAAAAAGCAGCTCAGTATCCAGTTCTCACTGAATCCCGGGGAGGTTTGTGTACCCACACCTTTCTGGAAACACGTTCTAAATAGTGAATGCTTGAAGATATTCCACATTACGGAGAAATTCAATCAAATACACCACAGGAGACTCCCTCCTCTATTAAAGTTAATGTCAGAACTCCTACTGAGTTCAGTAAGGGTCAGAGTGGAAACCTGCATACTTGCTTGCTTTCAAGATAATATCTCATCGTCCAGAACTCCGTGGCCCCTACAGTTCCAGATCAGGAAAGCATCAAATGAAAAAAGAGGTGGCCCTTCTTTTGATGGCTTAGGCTGACTCTGCAGGCAGTACACCCAGGGCACGACAGAAGCTGTCCTGTTGGAAGCTAATCAAAAGCAAAGTGATTTCCAGACTCACTACCTCACTGATGCAAACCTGGCAGCAAACCCTGGGGGAGCTGGTACACTGCTGTGATGTTCTCTAGCAGCCAGTTTAATGCTGCTTTTCAGCAGTTTTTTCTCCAATAGCATTTGGTCATTCGCTCACCCTTTTGTTTTCCTGTTAGGGGACAGTGAAGGCTTTGGAGAAGGAGATTGTTCTTCTGAAGCAGGAGCTGGCCATGCATGACAGCTTGGTAAGGAATAGGCTGCACCGGCTTAGACGGGACCTAGTTAAGGCTTTGTCATAATCTTTGTTTTTCAGGAGGATCGGTTAACTCAGTGTCCAGTGTGACTGTATTCTTCCCTCTCCTTCCAGCACTGTCTTTCTGGGTTTAGGCAAAGCTCTGAAGATCCCACACAGTGAGGCTGTGTTGTAGCTTCAGTCCCCATCCACGGTAGATGTTTTTTTCAGACTCCTGAAGCCCTTCTCTTCTCTGACTGAAACGTGAAGGGGAATGCATTGATTTCAGCATGCTCCCAAGTCCCGTGTCCTGTCAACTCAGAAGATGAGAAGTCGCAATCAGAAATTAAACACAAGGCTTCCCGGGGCACAGTAGAGCAATGTCAGGTGTTCGCCAGACTAGTACTTGCTTAGGGTTTTGTCATTCACTGATACTCAGTTGTTCACCTTTTTTCTCAGGTAAATCATTCTTTGGTGACTTATGACCCTCTGACTGACATCCAAATAGCAGAGATTAAGTCTCAAGTCCATAAGTACCTAAAAGGAGCCATTGATGAAATTGATGTAAGTAGCTTTCTAGCCGAGAAGGACTTATATACTGTTTCCATCCCATTTTACTCCAAGACAGAAGCAATGAAAATGTCTTTGGAAGAGGCTGTCTTTAACCCCAAAAGTGTTACAGAATTGTAATTGAATTTTTTTGCATCTTAAGGACTGTCTCCTTGTTTTCATACCATTTTTGCTTTTTTGGAAGCTTGAGGAGACTTTTCCTCAGTCCTGAAACCCTTTGAATTGGTTTATTTAGAACTTCTTTAAAGAATTAGCGTCAAAATTTTGCCCTGCCTATGTCAAAATAAATCTTTGCAAGGTGTGTTGCCAAAATACGTTCAGTCTCTTAGAGACAGGTTCATTAGGGCAGGGTTTCTCAACTTGAAACTACCTGTTGACTGCAAAATGATTGCGAAAAGAAACAGCAGAAGTCCTGCGTACACGAATATTCCTGTGAGGGGAAACAGGAAAACAAACAAAATGTAAGAAAATGAAAGTCATAAATGCACACTCAGAGTTACCGTAAGGTCTTGTTTGGTTGTGAACAGAAGCCACTGTGACAACAGTGCAGAAGTTGCTGGAAAACTGTTTTCCAAACAGTTAGATAACCCTTTAGTTTAAACGAAACACTTGAGACACTCCTCCTCATTTCATGTAATCGTTATCTTCTCTCAAAGTCCCTGTTTGCTCCCTCCAGCAGGCAGGAGCGGAGCGGAATAAGGGCTTACGTGAAGGTGTGTTTTACCTGGCCTGCAAAATGTCATGTGGGTGGGTGTGGAGCAGGGAAGGTAGAGAAGGACTAAGGAGTTTCACACAGGGAAGGATGCCTTCAGTGGCACTGAAGAATCTTCTAGAGAGAGGGTCGAGACCAGAGATAGTGCGTCTCATAGCTCGGTCCAGTCTCTTGGACCTTGGGAGAGCTGAGTGCAGATTCCTGCTCAGCTACAGACTGCCCGTTACTTACCTGTCCATGCCTCTGTTTGTCATCGCCAAACCAGAGATAACAGCATGGCTCGACTGCACTGATTTGTTATCGTGGGTAAGAGGACTAAAGAGAGTGCTCTGGCAGTTCCAAGTACGAAGGCAGTCTTGGGCAGCAGTGGGAAGAGAAGTAGCATCATAATCCGCAAGGTCAGCAGACGCCATCTATGTCATTTGTAAAATCATGGTAAAAAAGTCATTACCTTGATAGCTGTGCGCTCCATGGAATTTACCACAGTCTATCAGATTCCTCTCTCTTTAAAAATCTCCTGAGTGAGCAATATATCCACCTCCAGCCTGACTCTCAAGTGCAGGAGGAAGGTAACTCTCCTTGAGTGTGGAAAGCAGAGTCCTCACAATCTGAAATATTTGAATCAGTACAGCTGACCACGGCATAGAAATGCTTACCTGTATCTTCACTGTACACATCTCTTCCTCAGATAGTGAACATCAGGCAAGTCCAGGAGGTGTTTAAGCAGTTCAAACTGATTGTAAGGTAAGACATCCAAGGTTGATGTGTTTCTCAGTAAGGTTTAGGAATGCCACCGAGCTTTTGTCTGTGATATCACACTTACCGTGACATTGGTGAAGAATCGTTATGAAGTACAGGGAATAACTTGTAACCCAAAACACAATTCTGGACAAATTCTGCTGAGCTTTGCACAAGAAGACTGTTGCCTCTAACCTTCCAGTGCTCGTAAGTCACGTGCAAGGGCTCTTGATGGTAAACTTCACTGGTTAAAACGTCTGCTTGGCAAATACACCATCACTGAGCATAAACTGTGCAGGATCCCTAGTCATGGAGCACATCTCCATAGCGCAAGGCAGTCTGCAAACAGATCAAAAGAAAAATCAAACTCTCTAGGATGAGATGATAGGAAGTGGTCTCACCACACCAGCATCTAAAAGTCATCAGATTTACTGTTTTTTAGAGATCACGGCAAAGGAAGGTCATAAAGCAATTTGGGGGAGCATGGTAAGAAGGCTCTGTGGCTATTTCCAGGGAGGCGCTCTCTGACGTGTGGTGTGGGATGGGAGAAAGCGTGAAAGTGGCTATTTGAAAATGTCACCAGTGGATGATGAAAGTTGTTTTTTGGGCTGAAGGAGGGAAGGTGAATGACAGTCTGGAAAAAAATCCTAAAAATGAGGAGAAGCAGCTTCCATGTCACGAAATAGAAGAGAACAAAGAAGAATAAGGGTGTTAGGGCAACCCGCCCACTCCCTGCCCCACCAACCTTTGCAGCAATGGTCTGGAGAGGCAGCAGAGGTTGCTACTCACAAGAGTGGCATTGGGATATTGCTGTAGAAAATCTGCCTGCCCTCAAGGAACTTGTGTGAACACAAGTGTCTGTGGTACATCATCAGACTGGGCACTCAGTCTGTGCTGGGACCCAAGACCAAAATGGGTTTCACGGTAAAATTTTGCCTGATCATTATTGTTTAACTTGGGACTCCTTTTATTTTTCTGAAATTTTATTTTTCTGAAAGAGTGGGCTTTAGTCTTTTTTAACTTGCAGATTCTCTAATGATTTTCAAGTCTTGTACAGTGTATTTAAGCCTACTGACAATGCTTTACTTGTTCCCTTTCAGTGAAAAATCACTCAATTTGAAAATCACTAGGTTAAAGTAAGGCGACGGAAGTGAACAGTTACAATATTATTTGATCTGGACCATTAAAGGGTTCTGCTAAGTATTAAAATAGCCATCGAAAAGCTTCTGTATCTAAAAGGACTAAAGGGACATCGTAGAAAAAGAAAGGAAGAGGAGAGTAGAAGAAGATTACAATGGTTATGGGGAAGAATAGAAGGAGCAAGGTGGGGTGTTTTGGAATGAGATTACAGGTAAAAGACGGTTTTCTTTGGAAATCTGATATTGGCAGGTATTACAGGTTTTACCATATGAAATAGTCCTCCTTGAACCCAACGGTAAGGGGCTGCTTTCTCCCCTAGTCAACAGGAGCATGAAGTGGAGGCCAGATTACGAAGCAAGTACGCTCTGATAGACAAAAACGACTTTGCTGCTGTTGCTGCTGTTCAGAAGGTAATGCCTGGTGCTTGAGCCCTGCCCAGAATCCATCTTAGAACTGGCTCCTTTGCTGCTGAACCTTGAATTGCCTCAGGTTCTCAACTTTTCCCCATGGAAATCTGAAGCTCGGAAATGTTAATGGGATGAGTGTGTCAAAAAACTCGCACAGAGCGGAGGTGCACCAGTTAACAAAGGGGCATTCGTATCAGCAGAAGATTAGGCCCGTTATCTGAACAGAATAATTTATATGGCGTTTGCGAGCCATAAATTTAGATGTGGACTCCAGCTTACAGTTTATAATCTATTTTTCATTACTTATTTCTGTCTGTGAAATATTTTCTCTCTGAAGTGGTTATTTCCTTGCCTTGGTTTTACCCAGTACGGCGGATAAAATAATCATTATCTGTTATGCAGAGTCATATACTTGTCCTGCGGCTTAACTGAAGATGCTTTGAATTTTTTGGAAGAAAGGCACAAGGGAAAATGCAAAGTATTTGTATAACAGAGAAGCACGTGGTCTCTAACAGGCCTATTCAAGTCTTTATTGAAAGAAGTGGAAAACAAAACTGAAACCTGATTTAGGTAGATTTTAGCGCTTAATGGCCCCTCTGTTTTATAGTTGAAGCAATATGAGAAATAGTATAGGAAACATAATTCTCTTACATGTCTTCACTAAATGAAGGCTTCTGAGGGTGCTTTTATTTCTGTGACACTAGACCCAAGTTATTCTCCCCCTACGGCATATGAATTTGAGGATAATTTTGGCCCTATTTTAGTTTACGCTTCATTCTTACAGATGTGTTTCTCCGAAATACTTGGTAGTGAATAGAGATGTCTGGACTGGATTGTCCAACAGGATGGAATAGCTGCTGGGCAAGGGCTGCACAGCTTTTGCGGTCTAGACAGCTACAGATCTAATGCTTCCTGGTCTGTGTTTTATTTCTTCCTGTTTCCAGGCAGGTGTGGTTGATGTGGATGGCCGTTTGGTGCGGGAAGAGGATGGACGGGATTTTGGGACTAGAACTGCTCCTTTTTCATCCAGACGTGGTGGGAAGAAGAAATCCGGGAAAAGCAATGAGCAGCCCAAGTGAGTTTAGTAGCCAGACAGCTCTCCCTTTCCTCTGATAATGTGTCATCGCAGCGACTGGTTCTGGTCAAGGTGTGACAGGCAGCCCATGGAGGAAGGCAGAGATGAAGCCGGCTTAACGGGTGTGTGGGAGTTTTGTGTTTCCTCAAGGATGACATTCCAGCACAGCGCTGGAAGGGTTTGTGGTGTCCTTGTGGCCACCAGCAACACCATCAGGAGGATGTTAGGGGAAGGCATGTGGCTGGCAGGCACAGCCTGTGGTAGGGTAGACCTCTATTACGGGGAAGATTTACTGCGAACGGTTCATCTCTGTGTCTGTTACGGATGAACCAAGACCACGGAGCGCTGCGCAGGGTGTGAGCTGTAGACACAGAGGGTGGACGGGCTTTGAGCTGAAGAGCTTGCAGCCAGCACAGACAGGGTTAGCCTGTGACGAGAGGTGGAGAGCTGAACACGCAGGCAGGGGAACAGTCCTGTGATGGCATCAGAAGACATGTTAAACCTGCAGTTTTTCTTTAAAGTGTTAGGTAGAAGGAGATCTGCTAAGTGGAAAGGGAGGAAGGGACAGTGGACGGAGGAGCAGATAAGGAGAAGAGATTTTGAGAGGGAAGGGGGAACCAGCAATCAGTACTGAGCAGAGAAAGATCCTTCAGTTTATAGAAGTGAGGTCCCTGCATTGGCAGTTTCTACAACCACTTCTGTGGCCGAGAGCATCTGCTTGGTTCCTCCCTGACATTTCCCTGAAGTCCTTGTGTTAGAGAGGAGGGGAACCACCAAGGCTTTAGTATCCACATGACACGGGAGACTCCTCTGTGCAGTTTTTTTTTTAGGGAGATGGAAGGAGATCTGGCAAGCACTTTTCTGTGTCTCTTTCAAGTCACACTATCCCCTGCAGATAAGGCTGGTGTTGTTTGTGGAGGTGAGCTGAGGGAGAACAGAGAGCTGGGCTTGATTTAGATGTGGTGTTAGATCAAATCCTAGGGCGTTCAGTTTGTAGGTTCCTCTGAGGGTAAAGAGGGTTATCCCGTCCGCAGGTGTGCCTCAATCCAGACAGGGTGGGACTGTTGTCCTTGTGATCCTTCTCAAGAGAGCTAGTCCAGCCTGGGCCATGTTCTATAGTATTTGCCATGCAAGGCAGTCCCTCTACTCTAGGAAGTAAGGATTTGTGAGAACAAGGCTGATCTTATTCCTTGCCAGTAGATTATTTCACTGCAACATCAGACTGCTAGTTTTTGAATCGGCAAAGCTAGCACCTGCAGCATGTTTTGGTTCCAGTTTCCTATTGTGAAGAAATTACTCTGGTTCATCTTTTTCCCCCTGTCAGGAAGGAAGGAATCAGGAGCTCTCGGAGAGATCTGGATGTTTTTTTACCATCAAAAAGTCAGGTAATAATTTCCACCAAGGATCTGGATGTGAAAGAGGGAGCAAGGAACCAGGATACAGCAAATATTGACGCAGAGCTCTCAAAGCCAGCTCCTGTGGAGGACCCCCAGCGGCCCAGGTAAGCTTTCCCTGTAAGGGAGTAAACCACCTTTGCCAGAGGGTGGTTTAGACCAGAGTGATTGCATTGTGTTCCCCTAGTACAACTACCTGCTTCAAAGTAAAGAGGAGAGATTTGGAGATCTTCATTGCTTGGATGCAGAAATACACTGTAGGACAGCAGTGGTTGTATGGACACCCTATATACCAAAGTGCATTGGTGGCGGTCATCTTCTCCATCTGCTTCGAGCTCTGTCCTGATCAGTTGCTCTATTAAGTGTGAAGTCTCTGAAAATCGCAGCACTCTGCGCCCTTTGGTTAGTAGTAAAAGTGCAGAGAGACCTCATGTCCAGCCACAAAACCCCCCAGAGTCATGAAAATGGGTCGATAGCTGCACAAGATCATGGCAGGAGGTGCTGTATTGAGACAGAAGAGTGGAGAGTGGCCAAAAATGCAGCAATGTGCCAGTCATCTGCTTGTACCACGACAAGAATTTAGCATGGGAGGGCAGCACTGAATTGCATTTCATTGTGCATGTGCCCCTGTACTCGGCACTGGTGAGGCCGCACCTCGAATACTGTGTTCAGTTTTGGGCCCCTCACTACAAGAAGGACGTTGAGGTGCTGGAGCGTGTCCAGAGAAGGGCAACGAGGCTGGTGAGGGGTCTGGAGAACAAGTGTGATGAGGAGCGGCTGAGGGAACTGGGGTTGTTTAGCCTGGAGAAGAGGAGGCTGAGGGGAGACCTCATCGCTCTCTACAACCACCTGAAAGGAGGCTGTAGCGAGGTGGGGGTCGGTCTCTTCTCCCAAGGAACAAGCGACAGGACGAGAGGAAACGGCCTCAAGTTGCGCCAGGGGAGGTTTAGATTGGACGTGAGGAAAAATGTCTTTACTGAAAGAGTGGTGAAACATCGGAACAGGCTGCCCAGGGAAGTGGTGGGGGCCCCATCCCTGGAGGTATTTAAAAGACGTGTAGATGAGGCACTTAGGGACATGGTTTAGTGGGTGTGGTGGTGTTGGGTTGACGGTTGGACTCGATGATCTTGGAGGTCTTTTCCAACCTTAATGATTCTATGGTTCTATGATTTCGGATGGAGTTGATGGGGTAAAAAATGCTAAGGCTACCAAGGCTGAGGACTCTTTCCAGGAGGATGCACTCAACAGCATGAAGCTGTTCAACTCACAGGAGCTCAGCCAGGACCCCACACAAACCAGTCTGGACACCACGTTTCCCATCACCAGCCAGCTTTTCCTGCTGAAAGCTCTCAAGCTGCAAGCGCCGCAGCTCTGAAGTCTTATGATCACCTCCATTGCCTGTGTTGTAGATCTCCAGTCCTTGCTTGTTCCTGCCGCCCAGGGGGAGCATCGCAGGGAAGCTGTCCCAGAATTTACTTCTGAAGCACCTTAACATGTTATTGTGTTCCTCCATGCCCTCTGCATGCGTTTTAGTATTCCTAAAAGTCCTGTGGCTGGCAGGGAAAGCTGCTGCTGCAGCTGCATAAGGCACAACCCAGAGTGCTTAGCGGCTCCGTAGCTGGCTGTCAAAGCTGTAGCTGTGGCAGTCTGCCCAGTGGCCGTTGTTTACAGCGCTTTGCCAGCAGTTTGGCATGGGAAGCGGTCTCACGCAGCCTTTGAGGAGTTTGAAAAATGCCCTTAAGAGGTCAATCAGGGGCAGGCAGTAGTCAGAGTTTTGCTTTGACCGGTCTGGACTGAAGAATGTGGAGACTTCTAGCCACCTTCTGCTACCAGATCCAGCCTGCTCACCAAAAACAACCTTACGCAGCACAAAGCAGCATCTGTGGGAGTGTGGTGTTCTCTTGAGGGCCTCTCCTTTTGCCCAGTGTGGTTTGTGTTGAAGTAAGAGCTGGTGTTCCTGGGGGCACGCTTGCATCAGAGCCATTTCATAGAAAAGTCAGGGTTGACACATGCCACTTTGAATTCAGTCTTTCTAAATAGGCAAGACTTAAAAGCCACGGGCGGCAGCGTTGTAGAGCTGGCCAACACACGCAGCTATGGGGTTTGGTTGGCAGAGGTGACTGGTCTGTGCTGGGAATCCAGCGAGGAAAGAACAAAGGCGTTTCTGCTTAACAATGGGGAGGAACAGTATTCGTTGTTCTTCTGAAAATTCAGACCATTACAGGTCCACTTTCCAGGGAAGACTCAACTCTGAGGCATCTCCGGAGGAATGTGGTTTCTACGTAAATAACTCTTTCTTCTGGGAGTGGTACTGGGGGAAAGTGGGTATGAAGGTTGGCACAGAGACAGTACCAGGGTGCAGCTAGCACGACGAGATCCTCAAAGAGCCCATTGAAATACCAGCCACAAACCTCAGCTATGGCCACTCCCATGAACTGTGTCATGCTGCAGGGGAGAACAAACTGACCTCCCCATGTCTGTGTCTGTTTTCTTTGAATTCTGTTGCAGCTCCCCTCCATCCAAGCCAGTGGCATTTGAGCAGTTTAAGGAGGAGTGCAGAAGTGAGATCAGCCGGATCTTTAAAGAGAACAAAAGCATCCTCCTTGCCAGGAAGAAGAGAAGCAGTGCAGTAGCGCAGAGGATCAACTTCATCAAGCGTGAGATGGAGGGCATCAAAAAGGCTCTGGAGGCTCAGAAGCAGGAGCGGTGGCAGCAGGGTAAGTCGCTGTGTGGAGACTGGCCAGCGAGAACCTGACAGAAGAGGGGAGCCGCTGGTTTCAAAGCAGTTCTGGTGGTGAGACCGCTAGACCACCACTGCTGCTTGCCGGGGCAGCGGAGCAGGCCGGGCTTTATGCCCTAGCTCTGCAGCTGGCCTTGTGGTTTGCCACCTGAGTCCTCCACACTTCAGCCTCATCTAGTTGGTGCTACTCAGGCTTTACGCTAGTGAGGTGAGCTGCAGTCAGGTTGATTCCTCTGCCCATGCTTTGATGGATCAGGCAGCATACTGCTGACAAATGCAGGTCATCGCAGTGCAGAAATCACGGGTAGCAGGCTTGCCCTTACTGTGGTGGAGAGGTACTGCATCTCCTACAGCTTGATTTCATCTAGATTAGGGTCTGGATTATGCAAGTCAAAATCCCAAACTGCAAGGTACTAGAGGAAAAAAAAAAGGGGGTAAGTGCCTTCCTACTTTGCTGCGGCAAGATGTTTGTTAGGTGGAATATGCCTGGGTGAGAGTAGGAAGCGTGTCAGGTTTCGTGCTCCCTGCAGCAGGGCTCCCAAGAGTCGGTGCTGTTGTGTTCTGCAGAGGAGCAGAGAAGAAACGCTTCTGGGCAAGGAGAGAAATCAGAAACAAATGGCTTTAATAGCAGAGTGGTCTAGAGTGCTCTGCATGTGATGGCGAGGAAGTAGCAGTGGTGTTCCTTGCATGCAGGGAGGACAGCAAAACAACTCAGTTCTGTGAAACTACAGCCTTAACTATTGCCAGGCAATTAGCGGGAAATAAGAGGGACCGAGAGAAAAAGAGAATGGTCACCAGCAACCGGGCCCTGACTAGTGAATGAGGGCCAGAGAGTCGGACCCAGCGTGAATGCTGCTCTGCCGGTTTCCGTTTCTCTTCCTACAGAGAGACTTTTATGACCACGCTTTGCAAGCGGCCTTTTCCCATAGGGTCTGATCCTGCAAGATGCAAAGCTCTTTTGGCTAAATGATGAGCAAATCAGCTTGAATCCATATCGAAGTGAGGGTCTGTCTTTTCATAGGCTCTTTGCTTCTTTTGGGCCTTTGCTCTTTGTGATGACATCTACCAACGGGTGGTTTATTGTGGATGCTGGAAACCACAGGAATAAACTGATTTGAGGGAAACCAAGAACAAGAGATGTTTATCACAGGGAAGTAGCATTGGCTTAACTGTCCCCAAAGGGCTGACCAGCCCTTTGTCTCAAAAACCCTTACCATGGCTGCCCAGGGAGTTTTTCAGTAGGAGCCACAAAAGCCCGAAGTGATACCCTCCAGCAGGCTGTCACCTGGGTGTCTTTCTGCGGAGCCTGGTCCCTCCTCTTCGTCTGCACATGTCCCAGATCGGGGAGGACTGATGTCTGAGCGGGTTCAGGAGTTCAGCAGTGATTTCTGCCCCACACCACTCCAACACTGTATTTGTAGAAAGCATGTCTAAGGAAATGTCAGTTGTGTGGTTAACCTCAGTATAACCGGGTAACTACCGTGTGGTTCGAGGCATAATGACTGTTCTTCGTCCCTCTCCACCCTCATGAGAAACCTTCGTTTCCTTTTCTTACCCTCCAGGAGAGTACGTTGATGAGAAAGGACAGATCATAATTGATGAGGAGGAGTTTTTACTCATCGTGAAGCTGAAAGACCTGAAGGAAGAGTACAGGTCTGGTTATGCTGAACTGCAGGACCTGAAGGCAGAAATCCAGTACTGCCAGCACCTGGTGGACCAGTGCCGGAACAAACTCATCTCAGGTACTGGCTCGCCAGGGCAGTTTCTGAACAGCCTCCAGTTTAGCTGGGAGGCTTGATAGCAGCTCAGTACTGAAGCATTTCACAGACACGTTGCATATAAGCCAAGTCCATCATCCTCTGTTGTCATTTTTCCTGTTGCCTTCCAGACTTGTTTTTCACTGACGATTGGGTTGTTTTGGTTTTTTTTTCTGACGTAACACTGAATTGCTGCAGGTTCTCTCTCTCAGATAATGACATACTGCTCCTTGGTCACGCCACTAGATGCAATGCTGCGGGTAAAAGCCTTTCACAATGAGGTTGACAATAATGCTCCCACTGTTGGCCCTGGTTCTCACCCTTGATTTCATTTAATAGAGGTGGTGGCTAAGGAACTGCACTGGGCCAGGGCTCTGGATTGCAGATGCCTCCCCTGTACCGCTGTGAGATCAGCATTACTCAGGTTCCAGTGTTGCAGCACGGGCGCCTTGGCAGGAAGCAGAGCTTGGCCATTGTAGCGTGTTCTTCACAAGCACCACCCTCGTGGTGATGAGTCACACCTCTGCTCAGGGTGATCTGTGCAAATTCGTGGTGTGCTCCGCTGCAAGCCGCTCAGTTTGAGTCTGGGGTAACGGGAGTGCAGTCCTGCTGTATCCCCAGATTTGTCCTGTATGATGGAAGACAGTAGGTGTACGACTGCCAGAGTCCCAAACATTTGGATGCTGCGCACATGGCAATGCTTTATTTTCTACAAACTTGCCAGAGCACAACTTGTATCCATCAGTGCATCCCACGCTGAAAGAAATGCATGGCTCGTTCCAGGAGATGGACAGGGCCAAATCGTAATTGTGCAGAAACTTTGCCACTGGTTTGTGTTGGATCCAGGTTTGGCATTTTTTGGGTGCTCCAGATGTTTGCCGTTTGTTTAAACACGCAGGCGTGGACTCATTCAGTATCTGTGTCATCCCAGAGCGAAGAGGCCATCTCGGAGCTAAAACCAGGGTAAAAAGTCAGTGGTGTTGCATCGTGTCCACAGCGCCTAGCAAGAGCAGGGCTCTGCGCTTAACCTTCTTTATCCTTCGTGACTCCCACGACAGAAAGCATTCCTGGGGCCCCTCCTGGGCAGCACAGCCGCCTTCGGGGGCTGTGGGCTCTCCCACTCCATGGGGAAACGTGCCAGAGGAATGGAGCAGAGCACAGCCGCTTGGCAGCAGGCATCGGGGAAATGCCCAGTATTAATAAGGACAGAATTCCTGCTGCATCGCAGCACCTGCTGTGTGTTATCACCGGCTATTACGGGACGGAAAGCGGCTGTGCTTCCTTACCCTTTGGAATCGAAATCTGACCCCCGAATGTGCTGACCGCTCCAAACGGCCAGCTCCAAGCGGGATGGCTCCGTGTCCCCGGGACGCGGGAGCAGGGGCGGTTGCCACCCCGCGGCCGGCCGCCTCTCGGGCTGCACAAGCCCGGGGGACCGTCCCCGGGGCCGGCCACCGCCTCCCAGCCACCTCGCAGGCAGCAGGGACAGGCAGCAGCCTGCCTCGGCACAGCCGATGCCAGCTAACGGTGCCCTATCCCTTTTAACTAACTTTTCTCATAGTTTGAAACTCGAGAGCTTGGAGTTCTGAGGTCCTGCCTGAGAGTTTAAGAGCACTGAGGCCGCGGCTGGTCCACGGGCAGGGAGCCAGAAGCAACCCACCCTTGTTTCCGGTCATTATTTACCCCCCCTTTTTTTCCCCCCCCCCCCCCGCCCCGCTTTGCTTTGCAGAGTTTGAGATCTGGTACAGCGAGTCCTTCCTTATCCCCGAGGGTGTGCAGGAAGCCCTGAAGCCCGGTGGCAACATCAGACCTGGAATGATTCCCATGAACAGAGTCATGTGCCTGGTGAGTTGTCCTGGCAGCTCTGCTTATTCTCCTTGATAGCCACACGTGGCATGGTAACGAGGGCACAACTAAGCCCGTGGGAGGAGGAGGGCATGGCAGCTCTGCCCCTTTCTCTGAGCAGAGTGGCTGGCATTGAAATGCTATCTGCTATGATGCAGAGAGCAACTATCTGGAGATCCATCTTGCTTTCACATTAGCTTTACCATTAAGAGGCTAAAATAGGACGGAGTGATTGAAGTACCCAGTCATCTGCTGACTGTCAGTAATCGGGCAAACTGCCCGGAGGTGCGAGGGGTAGTTGGGAGGCTTGTATCCCGTCTGTATGTTTACAGCTAAACTACTGTGTTTCGTGTTGTGGCAACTGGTATTCAGCCGGCCCTCTGTTTAGAAACCACCACTCTGGGGGAGCCGGGGTCTTTTGTCATTCCTGACGAAGCACATTTCCATTAAGCTTCTCATTTACCAGACTTCTTCTTTGCATTATTCTCCTCTGAAGTCATTCCAGGTTTTGTCCTTCACTGTTAAATGTCAGACTCAAAACCTTCACGCTGTTTGATAGGAACGTGGTGGCGGTGCTTCCGCTCCCTCCGACGTGATGAAGTGATGCATGGCAAGGAGGGAGATCCCACCCTGGCTGCAAGGGGGAATCGGCCCTTTGTTTGTAGGTGTAACGCATCTCCATTATTGCTGCTTAACCTCTGCAGATCGCAGAGAACAGCTTGTGGGGACAGGCCCTAGGTCTGTCTCTCCCAGAAGCCCGTCCCCATCAGGAGCGGGGGGCACCCACAGGTGTTTGGGAAAGAGAGTAAGCAGGGCGTGAGCTGTGTGACCCCTCTCCTAAATGCACAGCCCCATTTCTAGCCAACGTGTAGTGGGGGACAGGATGGCTTTAGCTCCTTAGAAGGAAAACAGAAAAGGAACTCTTGTCTCCAGGTGTCTGATTATTTTGACTGTAAATCTCAGCAAAGCATTTTCTTTACTCCCTTCTGGAAAGGCATGTGAAGGGTTTTAAAGCTGATCAGAAACAGCTTCTTTCCATCCTGCTGAATTAGTTCCCTTGAGGGTATGAATAACAAGCACGATGTGAGAAAAAAAAAATGTAGTGAGTTTACTTTTAAACAGAATGTTGCGATCTGCCAGACTGTGGAAGATTTCAGATACAGATACAGACCTGTACAGGAAAGAGCAAAAAACCCAACCCAACCCAACCCCCCTTGGATAAAGCCTAATGAGGTCAACAGGAAAACCCTGACTGACTGCACGGGTCCAGGATGTCACTCTTTGGGGAAAAGAGGAAATCCATCACTAGTCACTTTTACTAACCCAAGTTACTCAATGTATTCATAGAAACTCCCTTAACGGTTTCCAGCCCTGGCTTTCTTGTCATCACATCAATTATAACCCAAAGATGAATGAAGCGTGCCTTTTAGCAATACTTTGCAGCTGTGTCGAGTTGTTGATGTTACAGGCAGAAATCTTCAGGCGGAGGATAAACAACAGTGTCCCTGGTAATGTTGCTCAGTGCTGGTTTCTTCTCTTGTTCCTTTTACCGGGTGGTTCGCTGCAGCTTCCCAGTCAGCGTCACTGGCCCTGCCGAGGCCCATTCTGGGTCTGGGAGGGAACCACCTCATTTTTCTCGGGATAAACCTGTTTCCTACTGAGAACCATTTTCCCTTTTCCGGACTGGCTCTTCACTTACTGTTCTAACCCATTTCTCCAGGGTGTGCATCTTTTACTCTTGGCTTGATTCGGTTTAGCCACTTGCCTTTTTATCACACCAGAATTTCACTGTCACCTTCTCCAGGCTACTCATGAACCACCACAGAAGGTGACCCAAGAATCTGCTAGAGCTATCCTCAAATCTGGCATGAAAACATTATACACAAGCTGGTATCTTAAAAAATCATAATTCCGTTCAACCCGTGTTCCTCTTCAGCGTGCTCATGCCTTCCAGACGGTTCCCCGGAGAAGCATGGGCATGGATGTCAGCTAGCTGGGCTCAGGGGAGACCGCGCTGAAGCTCAGACCTCCTTCAAGCTGCGACGTTATCTTGCAGTGGAAGGGAGACTATCCTGTGGGTAGTTATGGGCAGAGCATGGCCATGGGAAGACAGCTGAGGGAGCTCCCTTCGGGGCTTTTCACTTGCAGATGGATTTTGCCCCAAGTCCTGCCCAGATCTGCTCACCTAAGGCGTGGGAAGGGGGGACCTCTCACTCCCGAGGCTTGGGAGAGATTGTTGAATCAGCCTTCGGTGCGGCAAACGGGATCGGTTGACCCCTGTGTCTCCAGACGTCTGTTTTTCACACGCAGTGGGGTCTGTCTTTCTGCTGGCAGGAGGAAGACGAGCAGGAGAGGTTTGAGAGGATGCAGGAGACAACGCTGCCAGCCTGCCCAGCTTCAGTCTCGTTCTACAAGGCGAAAATGAAGACTGATCAAAAGGTAACCTCAGCTGGGCCCAGTTCCACGTACCCCTGCCGACGGGCGCTGGGAGAGCGATTCTGCGCCTCGCTGCCAGGTGGGGTGCAGGACTCTTCTGGAAGGGATGCTGTTTTGGCCGTAGCCTTTTGAAAGATGCTGGTTTGGTTCTGTAGCACAGCTAAGCTCTTTGAAATGCTCTTTGTCTCTGGCTGATGTAAAGGCCTCATCCCGTGCTGGTCTTCTGCTAAAAACCAGTCTCTGCACTTCTCACTTCTAGTTCCTTCCTGACAAGGGCTCACCGTAGGATACCACCGAGGCCCTGAGCTTAGCAGGACTTCAAAAAAATCGGGTGTTTATGAGGGCAACAGGGCTGCACAAGCCTATCAGTAAGCATTTTTAAGGAAAACACCTCAAAACCAGCTCTTCAGTGCTCGGGAGGAGAATTTCCCAGGGCTTCCTGTGCCTTCCTTTGAGCCTGTTGGGATCTGCCACCGGTAGAGCGATGCCGGTGTGATGGGGCTTATTTGGGCAGCTTTTTCCAGCACCCCTTGGGAAGGGGTGTTTTTTTTTTTTTTTCAGGAAAAAAGCTTTTACAGGTGGAGAATTCTGCTCTGAAAACTGAGCTCACGTTAATGATCCTTTTTTGTTTTCTGTTGCCAGCACACGTACACCAGAACCATGTCGTCCCTCGAGCAAATGCGCAAGAAACCCGGGCTCATCACAGCTGCTGGGAAGAATAAGCCCCTGTCGTTTCTGCACGTCGTGTAGCAGATTCGGGCTCAGCCTGGAACCCAGCGATCAATAAGCAACGTCACCTCAGAAAGTGCCTTGCGTTCATGTCCACAATAGATTTATCAGAAATAAACAGTAGGAAAAAAAAACCCAAAACCCCACCCAACTTTTGTGCAGCTAGACTGGCACTTATTGGTAATCAAACCCGCTGTTTAGACAGGAAGCAAGCCAGGGAGTTCAAATAGCAACGCTTGTTTTTCTGAGTGTCTTTGGAAAACGCAGCGTCACGACAGAGACCTGGGCTGCTTCTGCCTCCCTCCTTCCCAGTGCTGGAGGCAAGGGCCCCCTGGGCTGGTTCTCCACGGAGCGTCAAGCCACATCTTTGCCAGTTTGACGCTCTCAGGGTGGATCCTGAGGAGCCAAGTCTGGATGAGAGCGAGTCCTCCCTTGGATCGAAGCAACCCGGCGGCGTTTGCTCTCCCGGAGAGAGGAAGGGGCTGGAGAGGCGCACGCAGCAGAGGAGCGTTTCTGCCAGCTGCCTGGCGTTAGACACGGCAGCACCGATTTATGGCAGCCTCCCCACCCCGGTGCAGCAGGAATAGGGCAGTGTTTGCCCGCTGCTTTCCGGGAAGGCGATTCAGATCCGGGGGGAGATCACGGTGCCCAGCAGCTGGAAAGCTCCGGAGGGTACCGTGCTGCTTCTCCAGGCTGCTGTTACCTTTGCCCGCTGAGCGGAGCGTGCTGAAGGCCTGCTGGAAGTCCTCCTCCTCCTCCTCCAGCACCAGTGGAGGTGGGAGGCTGACTCCAGCTTGGCACATGCCAGGGAAGTTTGTACACCAAATAGCCAGCCAAGAGAGTCCCATCTCCTCCTACGGCTGCAAACCGTTCATAGAATCATGGAATACTTTGGGTGGGAAGGGACCTCTAAAGGCCATCTAGTCCAATCCCCCTGCCATGGGCAGGGACATCTTCAACTAGATCAGGTTGCTCAGAGCCCCGTCCAACCTGACCTGGAATGTTTC